CCAAGGATAGCATCCAAGAGATCTCATAGCCTGAGGATACTAAAACTATTTCTCGGAAGAGGGATGCAACAGCAGATAAATCTCCAAGTGTCTTTTTTGGTTCTTTTCTGGCTACAGGTTTTCTTCACAGCAGTCTGCTGTGAAGAGGTCTAAAAAAGAATCAATGCTTTTCATTCCTAATGAGACCCTTAATGCTGAGTGTGATGACAGCCAGTGTGAAATTGAATACTGACAACTCTACCCAGCACAAATATTTTTGCTATGCATTTCAGTTTAAGCACATATCAAGCTGGTTATATACATCTAGGGTTTGAAGACTATGCCATGCAGGGCTGGGGTAGTACGAACTCTTTAAATCTCTGTTTTGTATAAGAGGACTCGGGTACAATAGTTAAACCTCCCGCAAGTCTGTAATAAATCATCTTTGCAACCATAAGCATGTACAGTTGACTGCTCACCAATGCCCCGAAGACCCACCCCACCTGGGGGAATTTTAATTCCCTCAGGGAAATTGATCCCACCGGTTCTGCACATTATTCTCCCTGTCTTCCATTTAGCGTGTTAGTTTGCTGACAGTAGAGTACACAGCACTTAGCAGCTGGTTTGTGGAACCATCAGTCAGGAAATTGTATGATAAATAGGAGGTAGCCAGGTTTCGTGGCACTTCCTTCTGCTTCAGCAGTTTTCGCCTGACTTTGGAGAAGTCATCACAGGGTGTTTTGTCAAGGGCCAGAGCAGAGATGGCTGTGGTACGGTGACTTATTACACATACACTTGAATTATGATGCGCCCCGGCCCGGCCGCTCCTGTGTAAATAATAAACCACTGCGAAGGAGGATAATTATGGTAGCTGCTGGCGACAGGGGCTTCTTCTTGTCATACGGGTTTTTTTGCACACATTTTGGGTCTGTGGCGGAATATGCCACTGATCCACCAAGCAGGGCCAAGCCAGAATGTGAGGCAGTTCCCAAGCTTGGAAGGTTCCAGAGCATCTTTAGAGAAGCAGGTTAGGTAGGACCCATGTCAAATGAAGCCACGTATGTTAAATGACACCTTCTTACACTGCTGTTTATTCTAGCTAAATTTATCACCTTAAGCTACAGCCTTTAAGCTGCAAGCACATCTTGAATTGGAAGCGGGGTGTTCCATTGCTGTTTCCCAAAAAGTGGCTTCAGAGGTGTGATTTCCGCTAATAACCAGCACAGGCTACAGTTGTTCGTGTAGATTTCATCAGTCTCGAAAAGCTATTTTAAACTTTAATCAAGAGAGAAACATAGAAACTGTGAAACGTATAAACTAAAACCAGATGTCTTTGGGTCAGATCAGATCATGTGGATTAATTTTCTGTCCATTTAAACCTAATTCCAGAATGCAGAATTCATAAATTTTCTCAGGGCATAATAAACACTTAGTGTAAACAGTGTAACAAGATGTGCTGCATATTTTTCAGTCAGGATTCACTTTTAAAATCCCAAAATGCTGTAGACTCAGTAGTTGAGAAATGGCTACTAAATGCCCCAGGAGTTGTGTCTTATATCTTCCTCTCAAATATTTTTTGCAGTGCTCGGTCATTTTCTTTTTCATTCTGCAAGGAGGAGGGGGTAAAAGAGTGAATTCAACTCCCGGAAAAATAATATCTTGAAAATGAAAAGATGGCAAAGACTTTTCAATGTCAGTGATAGGGCTCTGTAAGTTTTCCTGGGGGAAGAGGTTTTTGCACTGCTGGGGTACACACTTTCGATTTTATAGGATTAACTGGTTGGTCTTCATCCCATGCATGTAATCACTGCCACTTCATTATGAATATGCATATAAAAGATAATGTCTCTTGTTTCTGGGATATAAGAAGCATATATTAAATGTGGGATAAATTGACACATTTTAGCTCTCTGTGCATGTGTGTGTATGTGCGTGTGTGTGTGTGTGTGTGTGTGTGTGTAATGTGGCTTTGTACTTCTTCATCATGATTCAGAGCTACACAAATGAGAAAACCAAGTACAATGAACCTTCACTTTACCTGTTGGAGGGAATTTAATGAAGAATAAATCCAGAACCAAAAAGTGAGCAAATAAAACTCTGTATTTTCTCTTAGTTATCACAGTGTCCCTCAAAAGAGCCATATACATGGAGTGTTTGAGAAGCCCTGAGGAGGTAGATTGTACTTGATTAATGCTTAAGTTGCACACAGTTCCTAGTTCATTTTTCTCATTCCCAAAAGCTGATGGCGTGTGTAAGTGAGACGTCTGCAGGAGGCAAGTAGGTTTGTACCCACAACCACAGGTAAAAGGTGTGGAAAGGAACCAAGAGTCACTCTGGTGTATTTGACGGCCATGCTGTATTTGTTGTATTTGTGTTTCTTTGCCCCCAGATTTGACTCTTAAAGTACGGCTTTGTTTCTGAATTTAAAATCAAGAAATATTCACTGAGTATGTAGCAGACTTTCAAACTAGTGTCAAAGGTTACTCTCAATTTTATGATGTCTTGAGGATGAATAAATTTCATCAAAAATAGTTAAATCAAGTAGAATGTTTGGGCTCTCCAGGGGGTGGCTTTTAATCATCATCGTTGCTGAGTTGGGTGCAAGAATGAATTTCCCAAGGTTGCCGCATAAGCTGTCAACTCCAACTTTGGAACTTGGCAAATCAACTTAATATTTGCACTACAAAAGAACTGACTTCCACATCGTGCAGATCTTAATTGATGAATTTAAAATAGTATTGATTTTTCATATGGGTTCTGACACGTCTGAAGTGTGATAAGCCATCAGGTAGTTAAAAGGTCCCTTACCTGTTGACTTTCCAACACTGTCACAGTGACCATGGTATTAACCATGATTTGGTTAATACCACAATGATTTCTTCCCTTCTTCTATACCACTCAGTTCCTCCTCGGCCAATCTTGTAACAAGCACACAATATGTGAAGAGTAAGTGACATTTCCAATACAATATCCCTGTTGGACTTGGGGGTAGGGGGGTTACAAGGGATTGAAACTAGGATTTCTGCACTGAGCTACACATTCAGCCCTTTTTTAGTTTTAATTTGGAGACAAGGTCCTGCTAAGTCACTTGGGCTGGGCTCCATTATGCAATCCTCCTGCCTCATCCTCAAGAGCTGGGACTATTGCTAGGCACCCCCGTGCTAGAGTCTAGATCTGGTGAAACACTGGTAGGATAACAGCTTCAGGCTTGTCCCTGATGGGCCACGTACCCACACATCCAGATCCAGTGATTCTCACTCTTATTTTTTTCTCCACATCTATAGTCTTGGATTGTCCAAGTAAGGCAGTAAGGACAAAGCTTAAAACAAAGGAAGTCATGATATTACAAGTTTTAAAAAGTATTTATTACACATCCACACTGATTTAAAAACATTGGAAAACAGAGAAATGTGTAGAGGAGGAAATCTCAGCCATGTGAATCCCAGAGGGACAGATTTCATAGTCATCCAGAGACATGTCACAGTTAGGGTGGACGGTTGCTGACCTTGGGGGTCTACATTCTCCCCTGTGTTGGGATATCCTCGGAGGCTCCTGGCCTGGTTCCATGCCTTCTTCCCTGACCCCAGAGCCTTCCCAGCACACCAGTCTTCAGACCTTGGAAGCAATGCTGGGCCTTGCTGTGGCTCCAAACCTCCAGCTTCTGGCTTGCTTGATTTGGATTCTTGAAACATGGGGAAAACTTTAATATATTTATGGAGGATCAGCCCTGGTTCTAACTTAAAATCTGTTAAAACTCTTCTTTCAAGCTGAGCTTGGGAGAGCATGCCTGTAACTCCATACCTGAGGAGGGAGGATCGCAAGTTGCAGACCACACTGGGCAACTGAGCAAGATCCTATCTCAAAATAAAAAGTAAAAGGGCTATGGATGTACTTACTGGTAGAAAGGCTCTGGATTTCATTCCCAGTACCGCGGTGAACAAAACAAAACCTTTCAGTTGGAGCAGTGAATCACTACTTTTAAAAGAGTTTATTTTCATAGTTGCAAGAGACAATGGGCGTAAGTTTCCAGCAATAAATGAGAGTAAAGGAGCCACTTAGAAGAAGAGGACCCACGTGAAAGAACCGGAGTAAGAGAGAAGGGAGGGTCAGGGCTGCCCTGGCAGGAATTCTCTGCGTGTGCTTTACAGTCTTCCTTGCTGAGTCTGAGTGGATCTATTCATCTTTGTCAGCTAGACCCTCAGTTTTTCCTTGACCAGGGAATAAACTTGCTAGCCTGACCAGGTGTGATGGCGCACACCTGTACTTCCGTCACCCCAGGAAGCTGAGGCAGGAGGATTACAAGTTTGAGCTCAGCCTGGACAGCTTAGCAACTTAGCAAGATCCTGTCTCAAAATATAAATGAATGAATGAATGAACCTTAACAATTGAGTGAGACCTTGTCTCAAAATATAAATAAATAAATAAAGGACCTGGGATGTAGCTCTGTGTGAAGGTCCTGGATTCAATCTCTTTTACCCCAGGAGAGAGGGGGAAATTGCTGTCTTGTCCTTGAGATTATGGGGGCCCCACCCAGGCCAAGAAGGAAGGAAACATGTATTTAAACTTAGGGATAAAAAGGTATGTGTATGTATTTGTTTATGTACACACAGAGTCTAGCAGAAACTTTAGAAAAGACACCCTTAAAAACATCAAGGGCGTAACAGTGATGTCTGAAATTCACTTGGCCGTGTGATTTTTTTTCTCTTGGCTTCCTGGCAGCCCTGGCCCTTCCCTCTGAGCAGCAGCCTGTCTTTCAGCGCGGGGCGCTATGCTGGGCAGCTCTTCTTCACTTTCTAGTCTCAGCTGAAATTGCATCCCAGGCTCTGCTGTGTACCGTGTACCCTGTCAGACATTGGCAGTACCTCGATGAGCTTCATTTGTAGCTCTCAAGAGTTTGTCCCCAAATTCCTAATGCAGATTCAGGGTCTGCAATGAAGAACACACAGCGGTGTTGCCCCGTGAGTTGCAAAGCTGTTTCAGAGTGTTCATTTTACAAAAGGCGGCCTTTGTTTCTGTTTCAGACCCTCCTCATCTATTTCCTGCCTTCCATCCTCCTGTCCCAATTGATGCCAGACATCACGAAGGCCGTTACCATTACGACCCATCTCCTATTCCTCCACTGCATGTGTAAGTATTAAAACTTTACCCATTAATGAAATGGAACAAAAATACCGACTTTGATGGTCTCGGGACCTTTTGTTAATGGCACGTCTACCAGGCTTTGAAGATGTGATAGAAGTGTAAGATTTACTTTTGAAACACAGCAAGCCTGTCTGTTCCTGGATTCACTGAAGCAGATCCCTGCTGCTTCCTGAGGAATGCCTGTCACCCGAGGTAGCTGGCAAAGATTCCCTATATATTTTGCTGACCTGTGTTCTGCGGGCTGTAAATACAAAATTATAAAGTAGAAGCTAAGCGGAAGGTTACTGCTTAAGATATATATTTGGTGAAACTAGGTTTGAAGATTTTCATGCTGAATTTTTTTTGTTACAAGAAAGTCCAGTCCAGGGGATCCTAGTAAATCATAATGAATTTTTGTATGGTGAATTTTCATGACCCCCATGGTATGTAGAACAACACGCACTTGATTGATGGGAGTGTCACCCAGACAAAATGGCACATGTGGTGGAGCGCTGGGTTTATACAAAGATAAAAAGAAAGGATGGTGGTGGTAACATCCATTGGGAAAGGAAACAAAATTTTGTAGAAATAAATATCGCCTTCCTTGGTTTGAAAGAAGAAAGAAACAGGTTTGCAAACTAAAACAGCATTCTGTCCAAAACACTGTCATATACAATAATAATTGCAGCCATTCTCTGAGAGGAGCTGTCCCTTGCTAATGGCCTTGAAATACACATTTAGTCATATGTAATAATCACCCTTCATTCTGAGACAGTAAAGTTAGAAAAGCACAAATAATACTTTGAAGAATAATGCTGGTTATTTAGATGGTAGATAGCATCTCTGTGGCTATTAGTTACAGCTGTGTAATTACACATTATGCTGAAGAAAAATGAAGTTGTTTTAAAACAAGTCCTCCTCTGTGAACAGAATTAATTGATATTAACAGTCCTAACTACATGCCCATGTACACATATAATATTTTACCCACAGTTTTTTGGATCTATCTCCCATTACTGAATTGTAATTTCAACGCAGATTTGCCTGGAGGTAAGTAATAAATCTGTGTTGCAGACTTCCACAGGCATTAAAGGAGAAGTGGGTATTTATAGAGAGAGAATGCAGAAACTTGTGACTTATGCTCTGACTTTTCAGTGAAACACAAGTAAGTATGTGCAGGGTTCTGAAGCCTGCTAAAAATACGCTCACATAAAAACCAAGGGGCCCATTTAAGATCCCTATACAAAGGGAAGGAAATTCCAAATTCAGTCTGCAACATGACATGTAATTCACCCCATGATGCAAAGCTTTTATGGCACAGATGGGACCACATGGCCCTCAGATGAGGATCTGCCCCATGGCAGAAGGGCCATGAGACAAGGATGGCTAATTCCTCCCAGACTTCAGTCTCTGTGACAATGTAATGTAAATCAGATTTTCTATGGAATTTTAGAATTCTTCACTCTTTCAAAAATCATGTTCCAGAGAAATTTTTAAAAATGAATTTAAAAATACATTGAAACTGTTTCCTCTAGGTTCATGACAGTTTGGCTTGTAATTAAATTCAAAAAGGAAAATCATTTCTTCGTTTCACTAATCAATGAAAATTCCAAGTCTTGGCTCTTTGGCAGGATGTGATAAGTGCAATTGTCCCTGTGGCCCTTACGGTGCATTCTGGGCACTGCTATGTGTTCTTCATGTTCTTTACCACTGCCCCTGGATCTGCTTTAGGAATTTTTTGGATGAACTCTTGGGATTTCTATGCTTTTTACCACTTCTTACTTTTACAGCCAAGCTTTGAGATACTTCAGCAGCAGTTGACTAAACAGTTCTTTAGCAGTCGGATGTGTAACTGTTGAGGTTCAGAGTGTAAGGCTGTAGGTAATTGTAAGCCTCAACGTGGAAGTCCTCCAGAGTTAACATGGGGAGCTCTTGGGTCTGCAGCCTTCTGGGACTGCTGGACTTCTGACTCATCCTTGCAGGACCCTGGGGGATGGGGGAGGCACTGAGCTTAGGAAGTAGCCTTCAAGCAGTTGGGGCAGGTCACACCGCCCTGCCTGTATAACATGTGGTCTCTGCACTGCCCTCCATGGTCATCCTTCTCTGCATATTGAATTCCTGCTTATATTTACCCTGTTAGCTTTATTCAAGTGTTACTTCCCCAAGCTATCCCAGGAGTTGTCCTGACAGCACCTTGCATGTATTTTTATTTTAGCCATTTCTTTTCTCTTTTTTTTTTTTTTTTTTCAGTACCAGGAATTGAACTCAGGACCTTGCGCTTGCCTGGTAGGCACTGTGCCTTTGAGCTAAATCCCCAGCTCCAGACATTTATTTTTAACAGTCACTGTCCTTGATAGTTTTGTGGGTATTGCCAGTGCTCAGACAGGTACTTCGTATGAAAGGCTTGGTGGACAGCAGGTGCAATGTGGGAGCCATCAGAAGGTGCGAGTCACACACCCTCCCCTCTGTCCCTTGTGCTGTGAGCTCTGGAAACTTCTCCTTGTGGGTTGGTTTCATGACATGGAAATGAAGCTCCTCTGCCTTAGCCAGTTCTTGAAATTACAGGAATTGTTTGATGAAATAAAATTCATGCAAGTACTTGGAGAAGCATAGAGCTCTTACCAGTTGCTGAAAGTTAGGAAATTGAGCGGCTGAGGGTCTGGAAGATATCCTGGGTTTCTCTCCTAGAGTACCCTGGTGATGAGCCTTCGGGTTGTTTTCACACCTTCAGACAGGTGATAAGTAGATACCTGTGATCACATTGGAAGTAAGTTGATGTTGGCAACTACGACTCAGTTTACTGAAATCTTCCATGCACGTCTTTGCTGCGGGGGAAACCAGTAACTAGGAAAAATAAAATGATTTCATCTACAACTTGAATTCTGAAATGCTTACCGTATAACTATCGTATTGAAAATGAGATCAAGCGAGCTTATTTGGCTTTAGAGTGAATACTTTTAATTATAAGAAGAAGGAATTTGGAGGTATGCTCATTATTTTGTACACATGATTGTTCTTCTGTAGCCAACTTTAGAAAATAAATTATAAGTCATAAGGAAACCGGGATTTGTGCTGATGGAAATGCCGACAGATCCTGTTTGGAAGGATGGCAGGCGCTGCGATAATTATGCTATCATAGCCCATCATTAAAGATTCTATTGAAAGAGGTTTATAAATTGCTCCTCTTTTTAGATAAACCACCCTATATTAAGGCATCAACGATATGGTGCAGAATTAAATTAAAATCTCATAAAATGAAATATGTTCTGTATTAGCTGTTTGACACTTAATTTGCCTCTGAATGAGTAGAGGAAATCACAAATTAACCTGCCTTTGTTTTTCCAACCATGGCTTATTAGGTGTTAGAACAACTGCAATTATAGCCTAATAATAACCACTAAGCCTTATAAATATGTACGGAAATACGTCAGCTCCTGTTAAAGACCCCGGTTTGTTAAATGGAAAGCCTTTAGCTACCCTGTTTCTACAGTCTTAGCCACAATTTATGATTAGGCAGTGTAGATGGAGTACAGTAACTTAAATTGATTCAAATGTGGTACTGGAAATAATATCAGAATTTATTAGTCTTTCCTTTAATTCAAAATAATGAATTTAAATTCAACACATTTAAGTAGGTGCCCTCTCTCCCTGAGTTCTCCCATAACAGTTGTCTTATAAAATAATAGGATTCCTACATTGTATTTATTTAATTCAAGCAATTTCTCAAACGTGGCATATGGGAAATCTTTCCTTATCTTCTGAGCTCTTTTCCACTGATTTCACTAGGACTTACGCCCAGTATGTAGTTGGAATCTCTTTTTCTCTCAGGTCATTTGTTGTGGCCACACATTTTAAGTTAAGACATATAGCAAAAATACAACGTAGTAGAAAAAAAACAGAAGAGTCTACTTTGTTAGATTTCTGAGATTCTTGGGAGCATTAATGGTTAAACCTGATACTCACCTGTGTGAATTCTCTTGATCTTTTATGTATATCCTTCCTTGCATTGTGAATATCAGGACTGGATCCTTGCATACCTGCGGTGGTACTCTGATATTATATAGGGGTTAATGATGTTCACTAGATTGACAGTGACCACCAGTTTGAAACATTTCATTTTGATTCTCAGACAGTCGACATAGTACATCCTCTTACCCCAGAATACATTTACATTTTTAAGTGACTACTCTCCATAGTAATGAAGAAAGGATTATTTCTTGCATTTTGGGTGTTTTGCTTTGTTTTTAGTGTTAGAACTAACACCAAGCATTCTGGCTTAGGCATGTTTTCTTTCTGAAAGTTGGCTTAGTTATCATTGTGGAAATGCAGTGTAGAAGGTAACTTTAAATTCCAGTTTGATTTCATTCATTCTGGATTTCCCATGGGCGGGGTTGGCAGCTATGACTCACTTCACTGAAATCTTCCGTGCACGTCTTTGCTGTGGGGTAAACCAGTAACTAGGAAAAGTAAAATGATTTCATCTACAACTTGAATTCTGAAATGCTTACCATATAACTATCTTATTGAAAATGAAGGGTAGCGTCTGTTCCTCACACACAGCCTACTTCAGCCAGTTTTCTCATTCCTGAACCAAGATGAACTGAATTTTGGGTGATCCCTTTGCTTCATCCACAGTTCATTTTCCAAAGTGGAGTTCTTAGTTCCTAATCCATTACTCTATGATACTGTGGGCCCTGCCATTGCCTTGGGTGGGACAGGCCAGTTCTGTCCAAACCAGCACACACAGAGGCTGCACACCTCCTCATTCGCCTCACCGCATCATTTTTAGAAAACCAGCATTATCCTTTCTGTCTTGAGGGGAATGAGAGCTCATGGTCTGTTCTTTTTATTCCATCGCTGTGGCTCATTCCATGGCTGCCTGGCATACTGGAGTCACTCCTCCTAAGTAAGGTGAGGGGTCTTCCTATGAAAAGCAGTCCCTTCCCCAAAAATGCAGTACGTGGGAGATCACTAATACTAGCTGTGAAATAGCATGGGAGATAGCT